TGTTGACCAGGATGGTCTTGATCTCTTGACCTCGTGATCCACCCGCCTCGGCCTCCCAAAGTGCTGGGATTACAGGCGTGAGCCACCGCGCCTGGCCGGATGCCCTTTATTTCTTTCTCTTGTTTGATTGCTCTGGATAGGACTTCCAATACTATGTTGAATAAAAGTGGTGAACGTACACATCCTACTCTTGTTCCTGTTCTCAGAGAGAATGCTTTCAGCTTTTCCCTGTTTAGTGTTTTGTAAGCTGTGTGTTTGTCATAGGTGGCTTTTATTACATTGAGTTATATTCCTTATGTGTAGATTTTGCTGAGGGTTTTAATTATAAAGGAATGCTGGATTTTGTCAAATGGTTTTTCTGTGTTTTAGATGATCATTGTTTATAATACTGTTTTTGTGATGTTTCACATTTATTGACTTTTGTATGTTAAATCATCTCTCCATCCCTGATGTAAAACCCACTTGATCATGGCTGATTACCTTTTTGATATGTTGTTGGATTCATTTAGCTAGTATTTTGTTAAGGATTTTAGCATTTATGTTCATCAGGGATATCAGTCTGTAGTTTTCTTTTTTGGGTATGCAGTTTTCTGGTTTTGGTATTAGGGTAATGCCAGCTTCATAGAATGAATTATGGATGTTTCCCTCTTACCCTGGCTTATGGAATAGTGTCAATAGGATTGGTACCAATTCTACTTGGAATGTCATGTAGAATTCTCCTGTGAATCTGTCTGGTCCTGGACTTTTTTTGTTGGTAATTTTTTGAATTACTATTTCAATCTCACTGCTTGTTATTGGTTTGTTCAGGGTTTCTGATTTTTCCTGGTTTAAGCCAGGAGGGTTGTATATTTGCAAGAATTAATTCATCTCCTCTAAATTTTTGTGTTTAAGTGTATAAAGGTGTTCATAGTAGCCTTGAATGATTTTTGTATTTCTGTGGTGTCAGTTGTAATATCTCCTGTTTTGTTTCTAATTTAAGCTTATTTTGGTATTCTCTCTTTTTTTCTTAGTGAATCATGCTAATGGTCCATCAGTTTTATTTATCTTTTCAAAAACCAGGTTTATGTTTCATTTATCTTTTTTGAATTTTTTGGTCTTATTTAGTTCTGCTCTGATCTTATTTTCTTTCTTCTGCTGGGTTTGGGTTTGGGTTGTTCTTGTTTGTCTAGTTCCTTAAGGTGTGACCTTAGTCTGTTTATGCTCTTTTAGACCTTTTTATGTAGACATTTAAAGCTGTGGACTTTCCTCTTAGCACTGCCTTTGCCGTATCCCAGAGGTTTTGATAGGTTTTGTCATTATTTCGTTTTATTAAAATTTTTAAATATTTTTATCTTGATTTTATTGTGGACCCAATGATCATTCAGAAGCAGGTTATTTAATTTCCATGTATTTGGATGGTTTTAAAGGTTTTTGTTGTTGTTAATTTTCAGTATTATTCCACTGTGGTTGGAGAAAGTACTTGATATCATTTCAATTTTATTAAATTTATTGAGACTTGTTTTGTGGCCTATTGTATGTTCTGTCTTGGAGAAAGTTTCATGTCCTGATTAATAAAATGTATAGTCTGTGGTTTTTGGCTAGAATGTTCTGTAAATAGCTGTTAAGTTTATTTGCTCCAAGGTATAGTTTAAATCTATTTTTTCTTTATTGACCTTCTGGTTTTTTTGTTTTTTTTTTCCCCTATTCTGCCAAATACTTCTGAGGAATGATCTTCTGTCTTGATGACCTATCTAGTACTGTCAGTGGATTATTGAAGTCCCTCACTATTATTGTGCTTTTATCTATTTCATTTCTTAGGTCTAATAGTTATTGTTTTATAAATTTGGGAGCTTATAAAGCCCCTTTTTCCACTTTTACAGTTTGGGCACTCAGAATTTTTGGGCTGTCTACCAGGTCCTGCAGGAGCAATTTGCTTCCTTCAAATGGTCTGTGAATTCTGCCTTTCCTGGAATATTCCTACAGTAGTTCTGTTGTAGTTTTAGCAGTGCACGATGATGTAACAGAGTTTTTTGTTTGTTTGTTTGAGATAACACCGAGTTTTTTGTTTTATTTTTATGAAAATTAAAAAGTACAAACAAAGGTGAGGTTGGAATGAAAGTTTAATAAGCAACAGAAGAAAGCTTTTTGCTCGCAGAGAGCAGTTTCTGAGTAGGAATACCCCCTATGAGGCTGGGGTTTAGGCTTATTATGGACTAATAGGAAGAAATGTGATTAGTTTGTGGGCTGTTGTAGAACATGTGACTTAGGTTGGCCTGGGACTAAAGAAAGCTTGGCCCGAGATCTTGGCCCAGGACCTATTAGAAGCTGAAGTGAAAGCTTGGCCTAGGATCATGGCCCGGGACCAATTAGGGGCTGAAGTGGTGACTTATAGGAGCTGATTTATGGTTTAAATAAAAATGAGTTCCCACTGGAGCCTACCGTGTTTATGTCCACAAAAGGAGAAGAAACTCTGGGAGCACTCTGATTATATAAAGGATAAAGGCATTTTATGCTAGGCCTTGTTTTTTAATTGAGTGAGCTAGAGGTTTGTGCAAGTTTTTATTTAAATGGATTGGAGGTTCTTTTATTTGTGTAGCTGTCAGCATGTTTTTAGGCACAATACTTTGTGCTAGTTTTTTTCATTGGTGTCCACAGCTTTAATTTTTTTCCAGGCTGCTTTTAACATTATGTGGGGATGAGGCAATGACCCATGGGCTGGGGGCTTTTCAGGGACCCTTCCCTTGCAATTTACCTAAGGCAAACGAACTTC